TTGGATATACTAAAGTAGCACAAAATGAGGAACTCTGAAGTAATAAAAACTGGTCCTCACTGTGGGGTCGAACCCGGGACCACTCGAGCTGAAAACTGCGACGCAGACCACTGCGCTATCGCCGCACGCCTGGGCTGTCGCTCTAAAAGCCTTACAAATTGGTTACGACCGACGCATGTGGAAACCTCTTGCAGCGGTTGTCAAACGTTCGCCTCAAAGTTAAATCAACTAGAGGAAGAAGTTAAAAACATGAAGAATTTTATCCAGTAGACTTTCATGACAGAGGATCAGTTGGCAGCATCTACGCACAGGGTAACGAGGAGTAGAGCACGAGACACCCAGTATAAGCAGTATCAGACTCCAGCTATCAGTGGTGACGTGAAACCTCCAAAATCAGTAAAGAATGAGAAAAAGGCGACAGGAAAGACTATGGAGAAAGGTAGCAAAAATCCGAAGGCGAAGGTGTCAGACTCGCCAGAAAAGAAACCAAGGGCCGAGGAGGAAAATGATAAAGATGGACTGACGAAAGAGGAAACCAGTCCCCAGACAGTATGCGCACCTCCTGAGCCTAGTGTGAGGGGAGTGTCGACCAACACAGGACCGAATAAAAATGAACCCAGAGTGGGAGTGAAAGTACATACTCTCACGAATATTCCTGCAACTAGCGTCGAAGCCCAACTTGGGGAAGCCTCATCATCATCGGTCAGACCAATTATTCAACAAAATTCGTCGAATGGAGGCGCTGTGGACAGATCACAATGCATAGTCGTCCATGGACTTCGTGAATCAACGAACGATAACCCCAGATGTAGTATAAATGATGATATCATGACCTTGCAAGGGTGTCTGGATAGCATAATAAAAGAAGATGAAGCCATTAAGATTCTGAAACTTTTCCGACTAAATAGTAAAGATAGCGCGAGCTCTCAAAAGCTGAAACCAAGGCCTTTAAAGATAGTTTTAGAAAGTGAACTCCAGAGGGATCTTCTACTCGAACGAACAGTAGGGGGGATCCCTGGCCATAGAGGTCTTTTTTTTCAACCGGATTACTCAGTACAAGAGAGAATGAAATGGAGGGCGCTGAAGGCGGAGCTGGCGACCTTGAAAGAACAAGGAGAGAAAGGACTAGTAATAATGAACGGAGTGATTGTTCGACGACAAAGACCCCTCCTGTGGATGACGCCTGTCATACTAACGAAGGCCATACGGCCGAGCAACTAATTCGAAGCAACAACCTACATAAAATTAAGTTCTTCTACGGAAATGTACAAAGCCTCTTGAACAAACTCGATGAACTTAAAATAATTGTGGCCGAACTTTGTCCTGATGTTATTGCATTAACTGAAACGTGGCTCACCCCAGATGTCACAGACCCCCAAATGCAGTTAGATGGTTATCAAGTGCTAAGACGAGACCGAACCAAAAGGCGAGGTGGCGGAGTTGCCCTATATATCAGCAATGCGGTCGAATATAACCCTGTTGAAGAATGTGTAAATGAGCATGATCTGGAGCTGCTGCAGTGTCATTTGCTGGTTCCTAAAGCCGACAACGTTACTATCACCGTTGTATATAGACCTCCAAATCAACCTGCCGACGAAGATCAAGCGTTAATCACTCGACTCCGCGAGGACAGTCGAAAGCAAAACATTATTATTGTAGGAGATTTCAATGCTCCGCGGATTAATTGGGACCTTATGACAGTTAAGGGCCACAGACAAGGATTCGACCAAATGCTATTAGACATGACATTTGATGAATTTCTGTTTCAACATGTACGAACTGTGACTCGGATGCGTGAAGGTCAGAGAGCTAGTTGCCTGGACCTTGTGTTTACGAAGAACGAGGAAAGCGTTGATTAAATAAATGTAGGCCCGCCCCTAGGTTCTTGTGATCACATGACATTAATGTGGGAGTCGATACTCGTAGCTGTCCCCGAACGAAGCTCAAAGTCGTTAAGAAATGTCTGGCGGGGTAACTTTGAGGCAATGAAATCAGAGATTGGAAACACACTATGGACCGAAGCATTACGAGGAGACGTCAACGAATGCTGGACAACCTTCGAATCAACTATGAGAGACCTGATTGAACGGTACTGTCCCATCAAGAAACATCCAACCGGAAACAAACCGAAATGGCTGACAACAGCGGTTAAGAAGGAAATCCGAAAAAAACGGAAGCTGTGGAAAATCTTCTTACAAACGGAGAACCCAGAAAAACTTCAGAAATTCAGACAACAACGAACCTTATGCAAAAGACTCATCCGAGAAGTACGAGCTTCTTATGAAATGAAGCTCCTAGAAGAGGTGCAGCAAAAACCTAAAGCGTTCTATGCATATATCAGGAGCAATACGAAAAACCGGGACCATCTGGCAACCTTAAAGGACAAAAATAACCGAATTGTGAGCGATGGCTTTCAAAAAGCCGAGCTTCTTTCCGAGTTTTTCCAAAGTGTCTACACCACGGAACCACCCCTACAGTCCTGTTCTCTTCCACTGCCCGCCAACCAACCACTTATAAGCACAGTATTTTTTACTCCGCAGTTAGTTTTAGCAGAGCTAAATAAGCTGGATCCTGCAAGTCACCTGGACCAGATGAGATCCCAGGTGTACTCCTGCGTCCGCTAGCTGAAGAATTAGCAGAGCCACTTTCTATAATCTTCCAAAAATCGCTGGAAGCTGGCAAACTACCTGACACATGGAAGTTGGCAAACGTCGTACCTATCCACAAGGGAGGATCACGGCTATGTCCCACCAACTACCGGCCGGTTAGTTTGACATGCATTTGCTGCAAACTGATGGAAAGGCTAGTTAAAAAATCTATTACATCACTCGATACTTTCCGCTGTCACATCGCCTCAGTTCAACATGGCTTCTGCGAAAAGAGGTCCTGCCTCACAAATTTGCTTTCGTCACTCGAACATTGGTCAAAGGCCATGGATAAAGGATATCCAGTTGATGTCATTTACTTTGACTTCAGCAAGGCGTTCGATTGCGTCCCACATAAGCGCCTCATTCAAAAGTTATCAGAAGTAGGGATAAGAGGAAATCTTCTGAACTGGATTCAAGATTTCCTAAACGGACGGCAACAAAAAGTCACTGCGGGCGGCTACTGCTCAGAATGGGCACCTGTTACGAGTGGAGTCCCACAGGGGTCAGTTATTGGGCCGCTCCTATTCATTATCTATGTAAATGACCTGGTACGGGAAGTGAAATCAGACATAGCGCTCATTGCAGACGACCTTAAACTTTGGAGAGCGATAAAAGATGAAGATGACGTCAGGATGCTACAAGAGGACGTAACGAATTTGCACGCATGGAGAGAGAAATGGTGCATGAACTTCAACGTCAAAAAATGTGCAGTAATGCACGTAGTATCAGCGAGGCGAAGAACAAATGCACCCCCACGACAGTATCTCCTGGACAATCAACCACTTAAAACCGTAGATGTGCAAAAAGATCTCGGTGTATTCATTAAAGACGATCTAAACGTCACCACGCAGTGTTCTAAAGTCGCTGCGCGGGGAATGTCCGTTATGAGCGCGATACGCAGAACGTTTATACACTTGAATAAAGATGTCTTTGGCAAAGGATACGGGACATTTGTGCGGCCGCACCTGGAATATGCGGTACAGGCTTGGCGGCCGTGGCTTCGGAAGGATATAGATATCCTTGAAGGTGTACAACGGCGTACTACAAAGGCTGTTCATGGCCTCAAAAACTTCACGTACGAGCAGCGCCTGACGGCCTTGAACCTCTATCCCCTCCACTACAGGCAGGACGGAGGTGACCTCATAGCAACGTTCCAGTTGGTAAAAGGACTTAATCTGGATGTCGACTGGGAAACGTTTTTTGAAATGGCACCCAAGTCCAATCTCAGACGACATGATTACCAGCTTAAAAAGGAACTGTGCCACACAAATCAACGTTCCTCCTTTTTCTCACAGAGGGTCATTCGCCAATGGAACTCTTTGCCGGAGTTTGTTGTTAATTCCCCTACCGTGAACGTGTTCAAGAGACAACTGGATGCTCACCTGCTGAAAGGCAACCCAAACTGCCGAAGCCTGATCTAACGGATTATTGAAATGACTATAAATATACTACTAACATGATTTCAACAGATCCTATTTTTTGCGTCAAACTTACCCCATATTGAAATTTTCACAGTCCGAATGCGGTGAACAAAGTTTTTCGCAATTATTTTGCGAATATAATACCCCTTTCACGTTTATGTTACATTATTAGATTTACGAATTCTCCCTTCTAAAACTGCAAGCAAAAGTTTTGCAATTTAACTATTTTACTTTATACCTGTACCCTCTAAATGGAGTTTTCATGGCTTCTGTCGTTTACTCCAAATATACTGACTGATACTGACTGAATTATGTTGTGTATGCTCTCTCCTACTTAGATCTCCAGCCCTC